TCTACCTTGTTACCTTCTTTTCCTACCCTCCAATAAGACCCTTCTCTGTAGCCAGCAAGCACCCTGTTTTTGAGGATCAAGAATCTCTTGCATCTGTATAATATTTTTCCTTTATGTTCTCTTCATATATTTTTCTCACTGGGAACTCATATGCACAATACAATTGAAGTAAGATGGTCAGGCATTATTTCCTTCATATGACAGGTGAGGAAACTGAGGCTGGGGGAGGTTAGTTGACATTACGCCTCAGATAGGATTGCTGGTAAAGGATGAGTGGAAACTCCAGGCAGGTTTGGCTAACCTGCAACACAGTGCTCCCTGTGACACCCTGATGGCACAATCCACAGTATCACTAACTCCATCCTCAATTCCAGGGTACCTACCATGACATCACTGCTTGAGGGAATTTACACCTTGCACTGTACAGAAGCGCTAAGCAGAATAAGTACTTCTATTAAAATATAACTTGAATCCTATAAATTCCTTCTACTTTCCGACTTTCCATCTCATTCTGAGCAAAAGCGATATTTTTAAATTTCCTGAAAATGGTGCATCAGTTCTCACCAGAGCCACCTGCTTCTCACCTCTTCTCCTACTACTCATCCCACCACTCCACCCACTTGGGATCCTTCCCTTCCTTAAACACTACAGGCATATACTTCCCGCACAACCTTGCAATTACTCTTCCTTCTGCCTAAAGTGCCCTTCCCAAGACAGCCACATGGCATGCCCATGCACTTCTTGAAGTTTTTTTTCTCAGAGATCACCTTCGCAGGGAGACCTTTTTGAGCACTTGACTTAAAATCAACTTTAAAAGTCACCCTTTGACCCACCATTTCTTATCAGCTTTGGCTGCTACATTTTTCTTCTCCACCTCACTCTCTTTTAACAGTGTTAAAACACTTTTCTCTGTTTTGTTATTTTTTCTCTCTAGCCCCAATAGAGTGTAAGCTCTGTAAGGCAGGAATTTTGCCTCTTTTGCTCAATGTTCCTGACACAATAGTGAGCAGTTAGAACAGTGTATGGCAGATAGAAGCTGATCAATAAATATTTGCTGAGTTCTGTATTAAGTAAAAAAAAAAAAAAAACAGAAAAGAGAACATCTACCTAAGAACAAGAAAATAAGGATGCAAAATTGAGTGTCTCATGGTTTTGGATTTCAAGTAGCTCACAATCTTGATATAGAAGATACAAGCACATAATTAACAAACCACATTCAGCATGGCATGATATAAAGGAGGCACAGACATGGCAGCATGAGAACCAGGACAAAGAGCCATTATTGCTCCCTTGAGAGATGTGGCAAGACTTTTCAGAGGTAGCGATATTTGAGCTATATCTTGATAGATGAGGAAGGATTTGGACACATGGAGAAAGAGGAGGAAGGGCAGAGTGGACACTTTAAATCAATGCTCAGACTGTAATAATGCCTGTCATTCAAGGATGGCCCCTCAAAAGCTACCTAACATGGCAAAGAAACAGATATCATTGGGACATTTCCCATGCTTGGTCCTTCATCTGTGTTACCTCACTTAATCCTCACATCAAGTACAAAAATCAGACATTATTACTCCTCTTTTAAAATAATGCACTCAAGGAGTGTCTGGGTGGCTCAGTTGGTTGAGTGATCAACTCTTGATTTCCGCTCGGGTCATAATCTGAGGATCGTGGGACCGAGCCCTACATCGGGCTCCATATGAGAATCTCCTGCTTGATATTCTCTCTCTCTAAAACATAACATATAAAATTTAAAAACATAATAATAAAATAAAATAATGCATTTGAAAACCTGGAAGTTTATAGAACCCATTTAAACCACTCAGATTATTAATGCTGCAGTGTTTAAGAGAGAAGGAAACTGTCTAATATGGATTGACAAAATGTTTTCTTCAAAATTCCACTTCAAAAATTATTAAAGTAGCATATGCCCACACCAATGGGAAAAATGAGGGGGACAGTAGAAAAATATATATATATTTTAAAAGCTAACCATCTCCCACTCTAACACCATTATCCCTAAACCAGCCCTCCCAGCAACTAATATTGAGTTCATTCTTCCTGTCCATTCAAACTTATCCAAATATAGATATAAATGTGTAGGGAAATCAGGGTGTGCACTTTACTCAGTAGTTTGCCTTTCTTATTAATGATATCTCATGGTATTTACTTTAGATAAATAATACAAATCTTTAAGAATCTATTGAGGTGTGCCTGGCTGGCTCGGTCAGTGAAGCGGATGACTCTTGATCTCAGGGTTGTGAGTTGAAGCCCTATGTTGGGTGTAGAGACTACTTAAAAATAAAATCTTTAAAAAAATTCTACTTGAGAGCTCATAATTTAAGATATCATAATTTCCCCATTGTTGGGGCATTCATAATTCATATCGCTTCTATTTTGGGGGGGTGTTTTTTAGAGGCTGTTGCAATAAACATCCTTATACATATAACCTTGTGCACTAATGTATTTATTTCTTCATAAAAGATTTACAAAAACTGAATGGCTAGATCAAAGGACATTTTTCAAATTTTTAAATATTGTAATAGATACTGTCATAACACCATCAAAATGTAGTAATTCTCTTACTGACCCAAACTGACACTATTGACAAAAATTAGTTTAGGTCTATAGCTCACAGTATATAAATAACTCCTCACAACTTTATTGGGATACAATTGATATATAATTACTCCACATATTGAAAATATACAACTTGAAGTTTTGGCATATGTATATACCCACAAAACCATCCCTACAATCAAGGTAATGAACACACCTGTTAGCCCCAAAAGTTTTCTCTTGTCACTTATAATAATTCATTCTTCCCTCTCATCATCCCCTATTCTATCCATAGTCAGCTAATGATTTGCTTTTTGACACTACAGATTAGTTTGAATTTTCTAGAATTATGAGATAGACTTTGAAGTACTTATTTGACAACCCTGTCTCATACACTGAGGACAATACTTGGCAGTCTCATATTCTTCATTGGTTTATGTGGGTGCTAAGCTAACTTGCATGAGCCAAATCTACTGATATACCTCTAAGTCCAGGTAACGTGGGAAGGAAATAAGGGAGATCTCTGGATTTTCATAACATCAGTACCTTCTTCTTACCAATGTGGATGAAGAATGTAGTGTTAGAACTTCAAATTAGACTGATACTAGAAATCTAACTTGAGAGTAATAATGTCTCCTACCCTTTGTTTAAAATTCTATTATTCTTTAAAAATTCTATTTTTTCCTTTATTGTTCTTATCATAATTTATAATTATTTATTTACCATTTTTTACTTGCAAATTTTCTGTGTCTTTCTTTACACTGCAAAAATCTCTGGGGGTGTGGGTCATGTTTATTTTGTTTATCACAGAATGCTCAACTTCTAGCAAAGATACTGCAATCAATATTTAATTATCATTTGTTGAATTAAAGAAATATATATACATAGAACACAATGGCCAGTAACTATGCCTATGATTATTATTCATATTAGTCACATTAGGCATTATCATCATCTGATCAGGAAACAAATTCTTATTTGATAAGATACACACTGAGCTAGTAGCAGAGCAAAGGGAAAAAAAATGCATTAAAAAAATGCTCAAAATGAAGCCAGAAGAGCACAGAATGAAGGACCATTAGTTTATTTTTGTCTATTTGTTTCTCCTGGTGAAAATTTTAATACAATCGAAGCTGCTGAAATTTCTTATTATATATCTTGAGCATATACATACAAAAAAAATATATATATATTCCTTGGTGTTGCTGACAACCTATGAGCGCCCCCTGCTGTTTTTAACTTGCTTAAAACCTGAGAGCTTTTCAACTGGGTCCTTTCTAAAATTATAAATACATACATACATACACACACACATACATACATACATACATACATACATACATACATAAAATTTTTAGAAAATGCAGCAAATAAATTTTACTGACTTATATGTTTGTATGAGCTAACTTAAATAGGAAGTCCAGAAAAAAATATGATTTTGCACCTCCTGACCCTCCAAAACATGGTAAAACAGAATGCATTGCTTTCTCAAGTAGAATGAGTATACCCTAGCCATTGTCTTGGGCCCCTAATCTCATCTTTGGGAATGGAACTTCTCTAGACTCAATCACTTCAGATCCCCACTACTGTTTCCAGTGGAAATTTGTTACTAGCTTTCAAAATTTTAAACATCGTATAATTCTTGGCACTGCACTTCCAGTTTCAAGACTTTTGTGAAGCGATACAGACATGAATGCAAATAAATGGACGTTTACCATACTACTCATTATAATAAGAAATAAATATTACTAAAAATAATTTAAATATTTGCATAAATCAAAATTTAAGTAAAGTATGATTCATTTATATGTGCTTTTTATTTCTTTATTTTTAATTTATTTTCCATGCACTAATCATCTTTTATTGAGGTTTTTTTCTTTTAAATTTTTTAATGTTTATTTATTTTTGATAGAGAGAGAGAGAGAGAAACAGCCTGAGTGGGGGAGGGGCAGAAAGAGAGGGAGATACAGAATTGGAAGCAGGTTCCAGGCTCTGAGCTATCAGCACAGACCCCCTGCAGGGCTCAAACTCACCAACTTGGATATCATGACCTGAGATGAAGTCAGATGCTTAACCGACTGAGCCACCCAGGTATCCCTAGTGGGTGTTCTCTCAATTAAAGGATTCAGGGGGTTGTGCACCTGAATGGCTCACTCAGTTGAGTGTCTGATTTCGGCTCAGGTCAAGATCTCATGCATGGTTCCTGGGTTCAAGTCCCACATTGGGCTCTGTGCTGACAGCTCAGATCCTGGAGTCTGCTTCAGATTCTGTGTCTCCCTCTCTCTCTGCCCCTCCTGTGCTTGTGTTCTGTCTCTCTCTCTGTATCTCAAAAATAAATAAACGTTAAAAAAATTTTTTTTAATTAAAAAAAAAAAAGGATTCAGGGGTGTGAGGCAAAGGTCCTGGTCAGGAATACAGAATGCATCCTCCACACTGGGCCCTCTTCAGTGATACTTGTGTAGCCACTTGGGTTTGAGTTCCTTGTTTGAAAGAAAGTAGTTGAAAAGCACATACGCTGTCAGCACCATAGAAATCCCAGGGATTCCTTCCTTTGAAACATTCCAGCCATGCCTTAGGAAATCCCCCAACAGTATCCAGCTTGGCAGCTCTCCTAGTTTGACATCCATCAACTTCTCCTTCACTGGTATGACGGACACCATCTTGGAGTCCTGGGTGTCCATATATACTTATTTTTAAAAGTGCAGAAAACGTCTTGAAAAATCACATAAAGTTGTTAGTGGTTTCCTCTAATTTGGGATATTTATGGACTAAAGGAATGAAAGTTACAGGTATACATACATATAATTATTTACATACATATAATTATTTACATAATTATATGATTATAGTTATATGTAATTTATATTAAATTTTATATAATATCTATTTCCACATTGTTTGTCTTCCCAATATTTTTAATTATACTTTTTTATTTTGACACTGGTACATACAAGAAACAAAACATTTCCATTACCACAAGGATCTCTCATAGCCCTTATATATCACACGCACTTCCCTCTTACTCCTACCCACTCCTAACCCCTAGAAATCTCTTATCAATTTGTATAATTCTGTCATTTTGAGAATGCTATGTAAATGGAATTATACAGTATTTCAGTTTTTGGGTTGGCTTTTATTCACTTAGCATAATTCTCTAAAGATTCTTCCAGCTTGTGTAGATCAATTGTTTATTCTTTTTTATAGTACTCCATCCTATAGATGTATAACAGTTGGTTTAACCATTCATCCACTTAAGGGCAATGGGGTTATTTGCAGGTTTTAGTTACTACAAATAAAACTTCTATGAATGTTTGTAATAAGTTCTTGCATAAACATGTTTCATTTCTCCAGATAAATGCCCAGCAGTACAATTAGTGAGTCATATGGTGGATGTATGTTTAGTTTTTCAAGAAACTGTCAAATGATTTTCCCTGAGTAAGTTATACTATTTTGCATTCACACCAGCAATTATGAGTGATCCAATTTTTCTACAACCTCATCAGCATTTGGTGTTGTTACATTCATAATAAGTTTATCAACAATTTCTGCCATAATGTTTATCATCAGTTTCTGCCTAGTTTCTCATGGTCTGTCCTTGGATTCCTTATTAATTCAATCCTCTTTTTGATAGACTCCCAGAAAAACCTCTACTCCCCAAAGATTGCCATATTAAATCAATTACTCAGTTTTCTCTATTTAGCAGATTGAATGAAAGCATAGAGAGTCATCCTTCTCAAATATGCCAAATGCACCAAGCTTGGAATGAGAGCAATGAATAGCTTAATAATATGAATGATGCAAGAGAACAAAAGGGTCACCCCAACCAGATAAAACCTAACAGAAAATCTACCCATTCAATAAACCAAGCCCAACACAGACTATATTCAGGCTCTGTGCTATGTGCTAAGGATTATCAACATAAATAAGTTTGAGTTCCCCTCCATTTGACTTCAGAATCTAGAAAGGACACTTAGAAATAAGTATGAAAATAAGACTGTTGAAATATGTGTTATGAATATATCTGCTGGTTTAGAATAGCATCTGATGTTTTTTTCAAGCAGCAATGAAACACTATCAAGAAGTCGGAAGCAGTGGTGGAGGGGGAGAGGTAAGAAACCACCTTTTCTGCTGTGTGGCTAATGGATTGGAAGGGATCGGCTCTGGGAATACAGAGGAATTTGGGAGACTAACACAGTAGTATGGTGAGAAATGACAAGGTTTGGGGAAAATAAGTAACAGGAACAATAATGAAAAATGTATGTACAGATGTAGAAAAGTTTTATAATAAACAGAACTTTCTTAGAGATTAGAAAGTAAGGCTGAGAAAAAGGCATACTGACAATGATTGTCAACTTTCTGACTTAGGCAATCAGGAAAATAGTTGTACTATATACTGAGACAGGAAATTAGAACATGGTAGCATGTTTTGAGAGATAATGAGTTCAGGTGGAGGTGAATTCAGGTGAACATAAAAAAGGCCTTCTGCTGGAAGTGTCTAATAGGTTACAATCTCTTTTCCTCAAAAGAGAGATATGGAATATAGCTATAGATTTTAGAGCTCCTAACATGGAAATTATATTGGCAGCTGTGGGAATGCATGAGACTCTCAATGAAAGCCATACACAAAGTGAAAAGAGAAGAGACATAAATATTCAGAGGAATCAGGATAATAATGGCCATTTAAAGAAACTGAAAATAATGGGCAGAGAGTAAGAAGAACACTAGTGGTGGAAGGAAAGATAATCCAACAGAGCAGAAAATTTCAAGTAAAATGAAGTATCTCAGGTGGCAGCTACTCTGAAGTGGCCAAGTAATATGGTAAATGACATTATGTTTCCTAAATGAGTCAAGCATAGTCATGTGACTTGGTTTGGCCAATGAAACAGGACTATAAGTGATGTACATCACTTTCATGGGAAAGTTTTAAAAGTTAGCCTATGACTCACTGAGTTCTCTTTTTGCATATGACATGATGATCAGAAATGCTCAAGATAAAGACTATTCCACCAGTTCCTGGTCACAGAATTCACACAACATGAAGAGAACTCTAAGCAACTCAAGATGATCATACAGTGTGAGAACAAATTAAAATGCTGTGGATATAAGCCTCTGAAATTTGGGATTATCTATTATTGTAGGTGAGCAGTCTAGTCTACTCTTACAGACTTAGGTGAAACAAAAAAGGAAAACAGAAAGTTTCACAAAGTGCAACTATTTTAGTTGAAAAAAAACCACGGGGCTCAAAAAATAGCAAGAAATCAAGATAATCTTCATAGAGATGTCAGTTAACATTATGTTAATCAAGAACCAACCAGAAAACATAAATGACTTTAACATTTGGAACAGAGGGGCTATAATGCACAGAATTGATTCAATAGATGATAGAAGATCTAAACAGTCAAAGAGGTGATGGTGAGGCAACCTGGAATGGATACAGCAGGAAGCCATTACCAACTTCAGCTGAAGAGCCAAAAAAAAGAGGTGATGTAACCACTGCCACTGGAGTCGCCTGGCAAAGGCTGGAACCAATGCAGACCTATCCAGCAGGACATGGAGTTTCAGATGTGACATTTCTGGGGACTTTTCCCAAGTAGAAGGGTAAGGAGGCTATACTCAGGCTTTTCCCACTTCCCACCTCCTATGTCCTGCCTGAACCCCCCAGGGTCAGAATGCAGCTCAAAGGTCAGCTGACCTGGAAACCCAGGAACCGAGACAGGGAACCTGTAGGGGTTAGCATCACAGAGCCAAGCAGGAGAAGGGTGGGGAATGGATCTGAGGAAAAATAGTCCCAAGAATGGCACAACCTCAGGTCTGAAGGAAGAACAGAGCAGACATTCTTAATGGGAAGAAAGACATTACTGATTTTTCATTAAGGCATAAAAGTGCAGCAGCAAAGAGATTTAATTATCTTCTCAGTGACAGGGCTAGAGCACATGTCACAAAAGAAATAATGAAGGAAGGAAGGAAGGAAGGAAGGAAGGAAGGAAGGAAGGAAGAAATATTGACGAGACAAGACATGTAACCAAAGGCCAGGTCATGAAGGGCCTGTAGGCCATGCTAAGGAGCTGGACATCCATTTTATAGGTTATTGTATATCACTATAATTATATCTTGAAAAGATAATTCTAGTATCATAATAGATGGTGGCATGGGGAAAAGGAAAGGACAGAAACTAGTTGCCAAAGGATGATGCAGTGAAGGCCTAACTTGGTGGCAGGGTCTATAAGACCTATGGAGTGGCCATAGTATAGCCACAAACTTAAGAGAAACTCCCACTCTGGTGATGTAGACTCTAAACCAGTGAAAGACCGTAGGCTTGTCAGACAATACTTTGAACACCCTTTTCATTTTATATTTAAAAATATATTTAGCCTGGGTGGCTCAGTTGGTTGAGTATTTGACTCTTGATATCAACTCAGGTCATGATTTCACATTTTGTGAGATCAAGCCCCATGATTCTCTCTCTCCTTCTCTCTCTGCCCCTTCCGTGCTCATGCTTGCTCTCTCTCTCTCTCTCTCTCCCCCTCCCCCAAAATAAATAAATAAGCATTATTTAAAAAGCTTCTTTAGAAACAAGGGCATAAGAACTTGAGGTGTCTGGAAACATCGTCGAAGAGCAGTTGAAGCAAATGAAAATGTTTAATTTAGACTCAAGCAAGAGGGGAAGACATGATTATGTCTTCCTGAAAATGTAGGTTCTCTTGATAACAACAGGCTCTCTGGAGTTTATGACCCAAAAAATTATCTACTTAGGCCCTTCTGAATAGACAGACTCCAGAAATAAACATAGGACACAATGAAATCTATTCATTGCTTTATTCATTGTTTTCAGGGGTCACCACATCTTAGGCCGGAATGAGTTCCAGCCCCCTCCATCAGAGCTTAGTGCTGCCATCACACCAAATGCGACAGGGCCTCCTGAAAGGCAGAAGGACGAGAATAAAAATAAAGCAGCTTACATGTACTTAGCATGTTTCCAAAAATAGGCATCAACCTATTTAACCACCATTTTGCTGATGTGGAAATGGAAGCTCAGAGTGGTTAAGTTTCAACAAAGAATCCTTAAGCTGAGAAATATAAAGTCACAACCAGAACACAGGTCTCTTTCATTCAAAAATTCCTTCTAGAAAAGTAGATGTTGCACCTTCCCTGAGATGCCTGGACATGCAAACTTTATATGAGTATAGTCAGTAAAAGGGAAATACATGTCCGGAGGTGAGAACAGAGTGGTTGGGAGAGAGGGGGGAGAGACAAGTTAGCCCACAAGCTATAGTTACCAGAAGTTTCTTCACTGCCTCAGAGGCCTCTGGTCCCAGCTCATTCACACACTTTTTTAGCCCTTCTACAAGGTGCTCAACAGAAATGCCCAGAGTTTTCAGAAGAAGCTTTAACGGATCCAAAAAGGGGAGAAGGTCATCCACAGGTAAAGGTAAGGCATTGTTGACAGCTCGTGGCAAACTGTTGGCAAGGAAAGCGGTGGCTGCAGGGCAAAAGGAAAACCACGTGAAACAGGCACATCTGATTCTTATCTGTTACTGCACTACCTTCCACTGTGTCCATCAATGGCTCCATTCCAGCCCCAATTGACTTCCCATGAAAACTTTTGCCTCAGGGCTTTTGCACCTGCTGTTCTGCCTCCTTAAGCTGTTCTTTCTCCAGATACCTACGTGTTTCTCATCAAATATTACCTCCTCAGCAAGGCAGCTAAAATAGCATCACCCATCTCTAACTTCATTTTTTCTTACCATGACCTAAAATAGTAAATATCTGTTTATTTATTTCTTGCCTTCATCCTCTTACTAGTATGTAGGCTCCATGAGAACAAGGAGTATATGTTTTATTCACTTGTCTAAAACAGACCCTGGCATGTAGTAAGCACTCAGTAGATACTGGTGGTTGACTGAAGAAGTATATACTTTGCATGTGGCTATCTCCACAGCCCATGGCTTTGAGGCCAAAGAGTAGATTCCATAATGAATCTTTACTTGGGGATACGCATGTCCAGGGAGTCCAGGGAGTTTCAACTTCAACTTCAACTAATTCAACTTCACACTGCAAATATAACTGAACTCCAACTCTTTAAGAGTTAGTGCAGATGCATAGTTGAATAAAACAACGCTATTCCACTCAGAGAACTTACACAGTCTAGTGGACAATAAAGATCTGTGTATGCCACAGTGAGGAATGTGCTGTGCTAACATTATGGATTAAGCTCAGTGGAAACATAAGAGAAGGGATGACTAATTCTAATATGGTAGAGTGTTGGAGCAATCTTCCCAGAGAGATGTTGTTGGAGTCATGTCTTTAAGCAAATTCCAGGATCATAAGGTAAAGAAGGGGAGGTGCATTATAAAAAGGAAAAAAATTAACAAAAGCACTGAAATGTTAAGATGAAAGTGCATACACAGGCTGGTGAGCCTTTCAGTAGTGGCTGGAGTATAGACTTCTAGTGAGGCATGCTGAGGTGGGGAAAGGAGGTAAGGCTGCAAAACTCAGGTGAGGTAAGATTTTCCAGAGCTTTGAATGCCATACTAATGAGTTTGAGACTTTTTTTCCCCAAGGGTAATGGGGAGGTATCAAGGCTCCTTTATGGAACAATTGCATTTTTTATCTTTGGCTTTAGAAAGATAACTCTCACATAGGAATGCCTGGATAGCTCAGTCAGTTAAGCGTGCAACTCTTAGTGTTGGGTTCAGGTCACGATCTCACAGTTTGTGAGTTCAAGTCCCGTGTCGGACTCTGAGCTGACAGTGCAGAGCCTGCTTAGGATTCTCTCTGTCTTCCTCTCTCTGCCCCATCCCCTGCTTGCATGCACTCTCTCTCTCTCTCTCAAAGTAAATAGATAAAAACTTAAAAAAAAAGAAAGATACCTTTCACATAGAAGATGAATAAGAAGGAAAATGTAGAGAATGAGAATATATACAATATATATTTTTACAAAACACATGGTGCAGATATGTAAACCCACATATGCATGAGCACACATATAAGAAAAAAAGACCCTGCCCTAGTTCATTTTCCTTAGGAGTCCTTTTCATTTCCCCATTCAAATCATACAAGAGGAGCCTACGCATCTACTTCCCTTCATCGGCTACCACCTATTTTCCTTCCAAAATTCTCCCCCGGAGGAGGGATATTTATTTCCTCCAACCACCTTTCAATTGCCACCTCTTTCTGTAGATATTTGACACTAGTCACTGAAGACAAACAAAGTAGCCAAGACTGGTTAAGTTACAAATTGATCCAAAATTTCAGTAGAAAGTATAAGCCAAAGTTGCCAATGTGGGTATGGCAGCATCCAGTTTCTCATGATTAATCTCCCTACTTATTTTTAAGGCTTTGGTGAATGTCTTCTCTGTATAGACTTATATACTTCCAGGGGAAGACCCTCAAAGCCTCCTGTCCTTTGAATGAGCAATGGTTATCACAGTGCATTTTGCAGATGTCAATATACCTCCAAAAAGAATGGATCAGTTCCCATTCTCCTCCAAGAATCCAACTTCTATACCCCACCTAGAAATTGAACTGTTGGCCTCTTAGTCCTCTCACAGAGCTGTATGTCTATATGTCTCTGTCCATAAGTCTAGCATCGTAGTAACTTCTGTCTGGAGAAGACTTAGCTCCCCTGTCAGATTCTTGTAAACAATCTTTGTGTCTGATTCATATCTATATCTTCCCATGTTTATCCAAATGCCCAACAGGTTGTAGCCATTCGGCAACTATCTGTTAACTGTGTGAACAGATAAATGTAGAAATGTCTCAGGAGAAACAACCTGGCAAGTGACCACAAGTGACAGAAAAAAAAAAAAAAATGAACTCCATACAGTTTCAAAAGAAAGAAGTTACAAAGTGAGATTCTGACTCAAGATTAATGAAGATAAGAAAACTAAGGGGACAATGTTCAACAATGTTGATCTTTAGTGTGAGATGGCTAACTTTTTTTTAAGTTTATTTATTTTGAGAAAGAGAGAGCACGAGCGAGAGAGGAGCAGAGAGAGAGAGAGAAAGAGAGGCTCCCAAGCAGGCTCCCTGCTGTCAGCAAAGAGCCCAATGTGTGGCTCTATTTCTCGAACTGTGAGATCATGACCCTAGCCAAAACCAGGAGTTGGACACTTAACCAACTGAGCCACCCAGGTGCCCCTGGCTAACTTCTTCTGTAGGATTCATTAAGGATAGTATTTTTATTGGGTTATAGCTTGGTAGGCTGGGATGGGGGTAGGGGGTTGCTGTATCTGAAATCCCTTCCAACCTTTCTATTCCATGATTCTAAAACTCCCTCCACCATATTCCCCTGGGAGCCTAGGTTTACTAGTTATGTTCCTATTAACAGAAAAGTAGAGGAATATATATATGTTCAGGCTACTTACCAGAGTAACTGCAGATGCTGAGGGTCACCAGCAAAAACACAGTTACCAGCTTCATGATAGGTTTCCTGCGATATTTACTTGGAGTTTGAAAATGAATTGCAAAGGGCAGTGAATGCACTGAGCTAGTGGCTCCACTTGCTGTGCAGTGTGACAGCTGCTTTTTGCACATGCACATATTTATATACCACCCATGACCTAAATTTCAGTCACTACCACTTGACGCACCCCAAAGAAGAAGAGCATGAAGGTCATGTTTCCTCACTAAACAAATTGGAGGTTTTTCCGCTTTTCCTCATGTTCCCATGAGAAACAAAGCCTTCACTTGAAGCATTCTCAAGGACCTCTCATAAAAGCCCTTCCTTGCCCAGAGATGCCAGCAGGAGCAAAGAGCTCTAAGAGTTCTTCTCTTGAAATAATATTGCAAAAAGGGGAAGTTTAATATTGAGATTAAATAAGGAGCGAATGTTCTGTTTTCTTCCAGCTTTCTATTCATTTAAAGTTGGCAGAGTCACATCACCTGATATGCTACCCAGCTGTGGAAGCAATCAGATGGTCCCATCAGCTGTGGTATATACAGACTCAGCTTCATTGCATTTAGTGCCATATTACTCTAGAATTTACCTCCACCCACCCCATCCCCACTCACACATCTACCATGGCAAGATCTCTTTTCTAGTATCTCACAGTTATTTTGAGAATCCCTAGGGTGTGCCTTCTTTGTGCTATCACATAGAATAATAGGCTCAGGATCTAAAAATCAAAATGCTTTTGGGGCGTCTGGGTGGCTCAGTCGGTTAAGTGCCCACCTCTTGATTTTGGCTCAGGTCATGATCTCATGGTTAATGGGATTGAGCCCTGGGTTGGGCTCTGGCTAACCATGTGGGATCTGCTTGGTATTTGCTCGCTCACTCTCTCTCTCTCTCTCTCTCTCTCTCTCTCTCTCTTTCTCTGCCCCCCCCACCCCCTGCTTGCACATGCTCTCTTTCTCTCAAAATAAACTTAAAAAATGAATAAAATAAATAAAAATCAAAATGCTTTGTAAAAACCTAGGATTCAATATTTACTCTTGGTATAATCTTGGATTAGACTTTTTAAAATCTATAGTATCGGTCTCCTCACCTACGATGGGGGTGTGTGTGACCCTGAGGCAAAAAATCATTGCAAGACCTTGTCTACATAAATAATTTAGGACACCAAAACATGCATTTCAGAACCATTCTGGCAATCCAGTCTCACACAATCACACAAAGGAAATACTGGGCCAGCCACAGGAGCAATCTGCTTGCAAGGCCGCACCCCTAGAATCAGGACTTGACCACGGGGCTCCAGGACATCCCTTTTTGTAAGCACGAGCCCTGGAATTCCTTTAGCATCTGGCGTTTCACATGCAAGAAAGAGGGTAAGAATGAACCTTGAAGGAGAAAAACAGGAATCAGGATGCAGGTAGATGCCAGTCCCAGGTCAAACAGCACTGCTGGCCTCAGTCATCCCCACCATGAAAGAAGGACACAGAACATTTTGAGGAAGATATGCCAAGGCAGGAGCCCTAATGGTGCACCAGCCAGGAGTTGGAGCTCCAATTGAGGGTGTGGTAGTGTCAGGAAAATTTAGTAAAATTGTGCAGAGAATGTAACTGCAGCAAATCAGGATTAGTACTTAATAAGTGTCATCTGTTATTCATTCTTGTAAGGTACTGCATTGTAACTGCCATTTGTTTATTTTTCTGCTACTTTATAAACTGCGTGAAGGAGATCATGAATTACCACCATGCTAATTCTCTCCTTCGACTTCTGCTGTGTCTGTCAGAGACTGCTTCCATTTCTCCTGGAAACACCTAGCCAGGGATATCGATGTGCCAAAACCCTCAGGGGGCCAAGGCTGTGTGGTAAAGTAGAAGTGAGTTGATGCCATCAGTTACTTTTATGTTGAGGGGTGGCTGGCTGACTCAGTCAAGATCGAGAGCATGCAACTCTCGATCTTGAGTTGTGAGCTCAAACCCCACGTTGGGCATGCAGCCTACTTAAAATTAAAAAATAAATTAAATAAATAAATATTTTTATGTTGTGGTATCTTTATGGGATACTAATCAGCGATGCCCTCATCTTTGCTTGTCATTTTCCAGGTTCCTTTCAAATCCTTTCCCTGCACATCCCCTCCTCTGCTCTGTCCTAGAGGAAGCTGAGTTCTCCAAACTGTGGTTTCCAGACTTGCTTGCCAAATGTGTCTGGTTAGGTCTAGCTTATGGAAGGCACTGGTAGAGGATTCCAAGGGAGAGAATGGGAGAACCCAGGGTATTTCTCCCTTTCTCTGCTTCAGGAAATATCTTGACCAGTGACTCCATCTTCTCTGTGGCTCCAGCTCCTTCCAGTAAGGCCCTGTGCTTGTGGTCCCACCCAAGCCAGGCTGACACACGACTGTTCCAGCTTCTATGGCATGGCCCTAGCCCTCAGTCCAAGCTCCTCATTCTCTGACTCAGTCAAGGAGACAGGAGTCAGTAGTAGCTTCAAGCATTTTGTAAGATCAGGATTGTCTCACCTCCCTGCTTCTTGCTTTAACTGCACTTCTAGCACCTTGTAAATTATCTTCCAAGTTAAATTCTTCCTATTTGATCACCTGGTATGGTTTTGATTTTCTGGCTGGAAGATAACTAATATAGCATTCTAAAATATTAGAGAGCTTTCGCTGAAAACAGATCTTTCAGTTTTTAAACAGTTTCTAAACAGAGGTGTTTCTCTCACAGGTATCAAGTGATAGATTCACGAAGGGCAAGACCAAGACTCCTCCAAGAGAATTAAGCATCACACACACAAAGCTGCTTCTCCTTTCCAACCTCTAAGGCGTCTGATAGTGTCTTGAGCTTGTCTGCTGGCCCGACAGGGTGAGTTCTTCTCTAGGAAGGCCCGTGTGCTGGATTCTAATAGGCCTATCAAACAGCCTGCCAGACATGCAGTATTGGCTGAAACCTGGTAGTAGACATGGCTTGGACTAAAGGCTGGAACCTGCTCCATGCAAAACACACACACACACACACACACACACACACACACACACACACACACATTCACAAACACCCACATTCTTACACATGCAAGAACACTCATCTGTGCCTGTGCACACATACACACACAACCAGCAAGTACTACTGTTTTCACTCACTCATTCAACAAACGTTTGCTGATCATCAACTGTGTGTCAGGAATTAGAATTGGAGCAGTAAACCAGACAAGCAAATTTCTCGCCTTTCTGGAAGTGACAATATGATAAACAGAGAACGAACAAGTAAGCAAAGAACAAATGATAAGAGGTAAGAAGCAAAGAGGATGCAGTGATAGGGAACAAGTAGACTGGATTATAGTCAGAGTTGAAAAGAAACTTGGACTTGGCTACTTCCATGCTTCTTAAGTTCTGAGCCACTGCAGTCATCATGTTTTTTTATTCCGTATTTTTGATGCTTTGAGATCTTGGGGACTTGTTGACCTTGGAGGTGTTGCCCTTCCCAGGGCTAGGTAATTTCTAGAGATAGCAAATGACACCTTTCATATCCAAACCAAGCAACACAGAGCCCATCAGGCCAACTACCTCCTTTATGGAACTCTCATACTCTAGGCTACTATACCCCTGCCTTAATCACCCCAGGCCAGGTACCAGACAACTAGAGATAGTCCCTAATCCCCAGAGCCAACAGAAATTATTAAACTAGCCAATCCTTAACCCGCTTACCCATCTTATCCATCCCTTCCCACAGAAACCATAATAAAGGCTCTTGCCCCCTTTCCTCCCCCCAACCTTACCCCTTCACCCTCCTGACAGATCGGGTGCTTCCCTTGTGAAACCCCCCCACCCCCCGTGATGTGGCCACAAGGATCTGAGTATAACGATCTATCTTTTTGATGGCAGTCATCTCCTGATCTGTTGGCCTGAAAAATAACAAAACCTATATTTTAAAACAGGAATCTACGCTTTTCTTGTGCCTTTGTGATGCTGCTGATACGGTCTTTCTTTGCAACATAATTATTTGAACTAATGTCTTCTTTCCCAGGACTACTTTGTAAACATCCTGATGGGGCTTGTCTTGTTCATGTCTGGATCCTAACTCAGAGCCTTACACACTTGATAATATTATTAGGGACCACTAATCAGTGCCAGGCACTACACTTTGCAAAAACTATCTACTTCATCCTCACAAAATCCTTGACCATAAGGGCTTTTATCCCACTTCACAAATGAGAAGTCTGAAGCCAGAAGCAAGAATTGATTGCCAAGATTACTTAGATAATAAAAAATACAACCATCATTGAAGTCCTTTCTTTTCTGATTTGTATTCCTTTACTTTTAGACACTTAACTAATATTCATTTCCATTAAGCATTTGTAAAATAGATTACCTCATGAAGATAAATAAAAAGAAAATGAGTGCCAGTGTTTCTAAATTAATTTTGGATGTACTTTTTTTTTTGTTTTTAATGTTCATTTTTGAGAGACAGAGACAGAGCATGAGCAGGGGAGGGGCAGAGAGAGAGGGAGACACAGAATCCAAAGCAGGCTCCAGGCTCTGAGCTGTCAGCACAGACCCAGATGTGTGGCTCGAACTCAAGAACCACGAGATCAAGACCTAAGCTGAAGTTGGACACTCAACCAACTGAGCCACCCAGGCACCCCTGGATGTGCTTTTTGAACGAATTTTTTGTGGAGATAAAATTTGTACTCAGGAGTGGACATTCATTAGCCATTCAACAGTGATTTACTGACCATGTTTGGTATTTTGTCTCTGTGGTAGATGCTGGGAATACAGCAGGAGCAAAAGCAGGAATCACTCTTGCCTCATTTAAATTATATTAAAGAAAACTGTTAGAATCAAATCAGTTTTTTTTTTCTCTGTAAGAGGAATGGCAGTTATAAAGAAGCCAACTGAATTTAGATATGAGATACTGATCAGGAAAAAGAAAAGAATCAGCCTGAGATTTTCATTCAACACGCTTCCTTCCAGCTGCAGAGGACACAGTCAGTCACCAGGAAATCACACTGAAAGTGTAGAAGTAGAGCTTGTTATTTTCCTTCTTCTCCTTGCTATGACTGGATGGTCAAAAGTAGCCTAAACTGAAG